ATACCTTTAAAGTGGCTTTTTGTTTTAGCATCTTGAAAAGGGTCAGATATGTCTTCCTAGATATTTTTTCTAAGAAAATAAGTATTTTTTTCTAAGAAAATTTCCAAGATGCAGAAATAAAGCCGCAACTATTGTTATAACATCATACTCATTAAGAATAGAAATAATAAAGTAGATTAAAGGAAAAGACAAAGTGTTAATGTTCATCCAAATGCATCTACGTTGACATGCTGAATAGATGCCCTCCCTGAACTTAGCTCATAGTAACACAGTGCAGCCAGAACAAAGAAAACTGAAACCACACTCCTAAATGAGGATGGCTACTTTAGCCTAATTTCCCTCCACTGTCTCTCTTCTTAGACCAATATCTTGTAATATTCTTGTTTCCTTCTTGTTGTTATATTATTATATTACAACAATATTCTTGTTGTAATATTCAAGCAGTTTTATAAATGGTGGGCCCTTTTGGATGTTAGAAATGGTTCATTATTCAATCACACACCCAGACTGAAGTTTTTTGTAGACATCAGTGATTTTGTAGTATAATGTCTAAATTGGGAGTATTGTCTATGTTGAAGCAGAATACTCAGCATCACAGATATTTTAGCCTGTACCTGCTGACTTTCTACCATGTAGCTTTGGAGAAATTTCTTTCTGTGAAACCTATGAAAAGTCTCTATGAAATGTCTCTTAATGAGCTTGGAGCGCCAAGGTGATGTGACTCCAGGGTGTTTGCCAGCTGTCCCCCACCAAAGGATGATTTCAATCAGACCATTCTGCCTACAGAGACAGGGCTTCATAAGTGTTCTGCATTTATCTGTCAGTAGTTCAAATTAAATGTAGGGCAGGTCTACCACAGAGTTCAAGTAATTGTCTCCTACACATTAAAGAAGGAATTGTTTAAAGGTACTATGTATGCAACTTTCTCATTGAAAAATGATGCAAACTGATTTATCAGATTGTTTAAATTTTATGATTTATGATAATGTTTAAACATGTGGCCAGATTTAATCTATATCAGATGTCATATCTAAATCTTATTTTTTTTTCTGTGTCTGTACTTTGGGTGTACTTTAGTATATTCAAAATAAGCCTAATTTGGTCATCGTGATTCCAAAAATCTAGTAACGGCTATTCATGAAAGGAAAACAGTTATTTCAGAATTTTGTTAACAGTCCATATAAGGTAACAACTACATCTGATCAGGAATTCAAGAGCATCAGAATCTAAATTTGTGCTCCTGTTCACACTAAAAAACACAGGGTCTTACCACCGGAGATGAAAGAAAGTCTCACCTGTAAGTAACAGGATTCTTAAACAAAACAAACAAAATAAAACAGCAAAACACAGAACAACAACAAACAGCTGATGTGCCGAACAAATATTAGTATTTAGTAACACTTAGTATTAGTAACACTTTGTATTTGCTTCTGCATTTGTCTATACTATTCACCAGATTTGGTACCATTCACCCTCTCCCTAGCTTTATACTTTCATCCTATATTTAGTTCTTATCAGTTGATTGCTGAATATTTCTGATAACAACATGCTACCAGGATTTATCAGATATGAGATATATGGGAAGTAAGGTTAAGTATCCTTTCTTTGACCCTGCTGTGTTGCTGAGCGTGCACTGAGATATAAGCTCTTTTTTTTTTTTTTTTTTTTTTCTTGGTTTGACTTTTTAGGACTGAACTCTGAGAATTCCTCAGTAGTGTATTAGAAGACAAACTCAAATATTGTTCTGCATTTTCTTTTTGAGCTTTACTCAGTTTCTCAAATGCTTCCCTGAATCAGTATGAAAGTCTCCTCTCATCATTCCCTAATTCAATGTGATGTATTGTCTTCCTCTATTTCCTTTTTAATAATATCAGTGTGGCAACCCAGGAATCATCTGCTACTTTGACTATATGAACAACACAACTTTTTCCAACCTAGGTTATTAAGTATGTTTCTGATTCTGTAATTCATCTAAAAGAATGAATCTGTAAGCTAGTAAACCTCGGACTATTCCAAAAATTAAAAAAAAATATTGATTTTCTTTGATTCTTTAGTTAGGACTCTCACTGAAATGTACATTATCTGAGATCAAGACAAATGGCAGACATCTGTGGCAGCATACTTCTCTTACTTCTCCCCTGCTCATAAGTGTTATTTTTTTCTCTACCCAGGCAGCTATAAACAGAAGCTTCCTTTTATTTTCTTTGACACAGACTTGGGTTTTGCACAAATCTCATGTGAGGATTAACCTGCTGTTATAACATCCCTCCATCACCACTGAACCTGAGACCTGACCCTGAGACAGTTCTTTTACCATGTAGCCTCTGTGAGGGAGTACCTATGGATAACTTGGGCCAAGAGCATTTTCTTCTTGTGCCTGAGACATGAAAGGAAGAAAATAAGGAGAAATTGTGTGATTCCAGGTTTGGATATTACCTTTAAGAAACAAAGTAGTTTCATATTTTCCATTTTTGTTTAAAAATGGTTTAAAATTTGAACAAGGAGGGAGAAAGAGTATTTTACAAAAGGAGATGTCATATCGAGTTATGCAGGTTTAGGTCAGGTTCAATATGTAGGCTAGGTCAGGTAATTAAACTTTTCTTTGTGTGATGAAAAGCTATACAGACTTTTTGCCGTGCTTCTGCATAATGTGGATTTCACAGATTAGCATAGAAGAAACTCCTAAACTTGAGCTAAACTTCAGATCTTAACAAAATTTTTAACAACTCCTAAGCTTAATTTTGAGGATTTCTCTTGTTCAGCTTCCTAAAGAAGAAAAAGAAGAAATATATTTTTTTCTATAATTTTCAGATGGTGATGTTCATGGTTCATGTCACACACAAAACCAGAACTTTATTTACATTCATTCTGTGTTTTTGTTGTTGTTGTTGTTGTTTTGTTTTGCTTTGTTTTTCCAGTGTTGTATTTATTGGAGATTATTAATACAGTCATTATCTCCAATAAATATGACACCCAGCTTCCTTGACTTTGATCCCCTTAGAGGCAGCAATCATATAACTTCCAATACTATTGCCGAGAGCTATACTTTTGTGCTTATGACAGCTTTAGCCTGCTTCCAGAGTGAATGTTTTTCATCCAAGCAGTTCTCTTTCTGACCACTGGGCTGATGTTGTGTAAAATTGATTTCCAGCTGGATTCTCTCACTTCCTCTGCTCTTATATTTTGGTTTGAGAATATCAGCTTATGATTGAGAGGTGAGCAAAAAATAGCAGCAAAGGAAGTAAGGCATGGAGGCGAGAGGGCAGGTGGTAGGAGCTGAAATGGAATCAGTGAGGGACAGATAACATATACAGTTGTACAAAGTGTATATGCCTGGATATATTCCACATTCTCAGGATCTTGGTACATAAAACAAAGACAAAATTCGGTTTGAATGTTTTCCCCAGTTCTCTCTTCTTGCATACCCTAACTGAACCTTTATTATTTTATTTCATTTGAATGGTAATACAAGTGGAAGCAATCCTGAATTAACAATAGCTTCTCAATCATAATCAATTGAATAATCAATTAGCTCTGTGCTTGGTGTATTCAGCTGAGGAAATATTCTTCACATCTCATGCAAGTAGTATATCTGTCGAAATACAAGTGATCCAAAATATTTAATTGTTCATGTAAAATGGAACTGCTCCAGCAGAAGAAAGAGAAATAATTAAGAATGACAAGGTCTTTGCTCCTATGCCATGTATCCTAGTACACTTTACTAACCACTGAACTATTGTGGGTTGCTGTTCTGGTGATGTGAAGGTGATTCCACAGAACATTTAGGTGTTCAGAAGAAAAAAAAAAAAAAAAAACTTGTTGAAGGAATATGTTATTGTCTAGAATCTTTTAATCAGCCTTAGTGAGGAGGATTTTCTGAAGGACAGTCTAAGACAGTCTAAGCAGTAAGGGAAGATGAGGAGGATGATCACAAAAGCACTGAATAGCAGGCATCAAGTAATCAAAACTTTGTGTAAAAAAATGTGGCCAGGAGAGCTGAAGAAGAAAGAGGATAGAGCAGTGACTCTAAACTTTGTCTAGCAAATGACTAACGTTTTCAGACATGTGACAACTCTGAAGCATTTCGGAGCAAAAGGAAGAGAAAAATCCCGATGATGACTGTAAACCTCTGTTCAGTTCAGTGTGCCTTCACTTCTGCATCTTGTGCACTGGATAAGCTGATTCCTTTCCTTATATTTTGCCACAGAGCCAGGTGCTTACATCTCCTGGTGGGAAGATGAGAAGTGCAAATGCCAGCCCGTGTAGCAAAGAAGAGCTGACTATAGGTTCCTAGTAAGAACTGTTTAAGATGGTTTCTGATTTCATGTGACTATGACATTTATGTAGAGGCGTGCTGTCTTGAGGTCATTTTTCTGCTAATTTCACTTTCAAGCTCTTGCCCACATACATAATTTCACAGCTGTGAAATTGTAAGCAATGCAATGAATATGTTTCTTTTTTTTAACTATTCTTATTTAAATTGTTAATATTGTATTCCTTTAAATTGTTTTTAAAAGTCTATATATTTTCAGCATTATAAAAACTTGCTTAAATTTAGTTCAGAAAATCTGTGATTGTAATATTTTCTCTGAATCAGACCTCTGAAAAATCTATCCTGTTTAATACTTTTGCATATTACCTTAATGAATTTGCAGCATATAAGCTATTTATACTCTCAATGTTGTTCTGTGATACTTAGATGAACTTCACAGGTATGCGCATAACGATGACAGCAAATCAAGAGAGGTCCAAAAAATGAAAAACAGAAAAGTTACCGATTTCATAGGTTTAAAGTAGTGTCTTTATTGGCTCTGTGACTGTGACTAAGAATCAAAGTGTAGAAAATCACCTAAATTTACCCTCCCCCTTAGGCAGCAGTAAGCTTCATAGGACCTTCCCCAAACCAAATAAGGCCAGGAAGAATGTGCTAAGCGCTAAGTGAGCTAAGAATAAAGTTGAGCTAGGGTGGATAAGGTTTCTTTGAACTCTATATTTCATGTTTCCTGACATACCCCCCCCAAAGAACTGTAATTATGTTAGCAAGGCTGCAGGAGCGTTAAACAGCTTTTTCCCAGTTCTTTTGCTTTTTGCTGCCCTTCTATGCCTTCCTGTCCTGATTATAAATGGTTCTTTTTATTTTGTGTTTGTCATGTGCATGGTTCTTAGGATATTAGAGAAAACATGCTGAAGACTAACTGTGAGGCATGGCTATTTTTATTAGAAGCTGATACTTTAGACTGAGCTTTAAGTATTGCCTCTGGAAGGCCTGAGGTTGCTTGGGGAGGGCAGGAGTCTCCAGAGGAAAGAGAAAGTTCAGAGGGGCACAAAAGAAGAAGGAACAAAATTAGAAAAAGCAGAGGACCTCCCTCGTGCTCATTCTGAAGCTCCTGTAAAATCCAGAAACCCAGAAGTATTATCTAATCTGCCAGAGTACATATTGACCTTTTTAACAGAGTAATTCTTACCATCATCATCATCATGGCTGAGACTGCAGCAGAAGGTACAGTAACTATTTTTGAATATAATTAACCAAAAATGATATGTACTTTGACAGTGTAACTGAGCTGGTGTGTCAATATGATTTATTGTTCTTAGAATACAACAGTTTCACTGTGGGATCATTTAATCTGTTTATTGGTTTGTTTTCTTTTCTTTCCTGTCTTTTTTTTTCTTTTCTTTCTTTTTTTTTTTTTTTTTCCTTTTTCCCCTTTTTCAGTCCTGTACTCAAAGTTTTTACCAGTTACAGAAGCAAAATCTCTGTGCACCTCTAAAAATAGCATTAGTCTCATATGCAGAGCAGCTCCATTGGAGTTGTACATGAAGGGGGAAAGCCTGGATGCCAGGTGTTTCCACCCTACCCTTATTCAAGTAAACTTCTAAAAGAGTTGGTGAAACTTGTGTTGAAATAAGTATGCTTGAACTAGTCATGAAAGAATGAAAGTAAATTGTATTAACCAATAAAGCATATCCAAAAATATGAATATTTCATGTACTTTAATATTTCCTGACCATTCATATTTAAATAATATTTTAGATGTGTAGCAATATTTTATCAACTACAATGAGACAGGGTCTATATTTAAAATGCAACCTTCGTTAATATTGATTTTTTTTAGTTGAATTTCATTCCTTTTTTTATTTTTCCCGAGTGTAAATTACTCCGCTATTTATCTATTTAATCTATTATATTTATCTATTAACTATTTAATAATTAAATAATTAAAATAAACAAACAAAATCTAAAGGATTTTAAAACAGTCTTCTTAGAGTTATTTTTGTTCTACTTGTCAAGTTTATGTGCATTTCAGTGTATGAAAGTTGTACTTTTCATCTTCCTTTTTTTTATATTACTAATATTAGTAAGAGGATGTGCATTAATCAATATTAGAGAGTGAACCAAATTAAATTCTAAATGATTAATGTTTAGACTATGTCAAACTGCACAATTCTTGCCTGATATCTGGTTAACCACAGCAAGGAGATAATGCGGGGATGTTTTTATGGTAACCAATTGAATGGATCTATAAACTGTTTCTGGCTGCAAATACCGCCAAAACAGGTTGCTCAGCATGACAGCCCTAGTCTGAATGGTTTAGTAGTTTATTTGGATAACCTTAAAAAGATATGTTGGAAACATTGGTTACTTTGTAGGTGTTACCAGGATATCTGTGAAATTGTATTTGCTTTCCAAAATGTGTTCATTAACAACTTCAGTGTTACAGGAGTGGTATGGAAATACTTATGAGGTACTTCAGGTGAAACAAAGCAAAAAAATATCAAGACTTTTTGTTTGAAATTAATAGGAAACATAAAAAACTTTTCAGTCTGTAACTGACTTTTCAATCCTTTAGCTAATCAAAGTAAGAAGATAAAAGGCCCCTAAAATAAAGATAAAACACAGGGTCTGAAAATGTTTTTACAGTGCTTACGGGTGTTTCTTAGCTATTGCAGTGTGTGTCTGTTTTGTTTTTGTCTGCGTAAAGCAGTAGAGTTCAAGTGACAAGGGGCATCAGTCAGTTCCACAGTACCTGACCTTCAGAAGGACAGGTAAATTAACCAAAGAATAGTTTATTTTTATTTTTATTTATTTATTTATATATATATATATTTGGACTTTGACTGGATGATTTTTAAACTTGATCCATGAGATGGAAATTTTACTCATGGCAGAAAAGTAAGAATTAGCCTGGGGCTAATGTTTCACTGCAGTTTATTTTCCTCTGGGGCTACTGCTGGCAATCAGAAGGCAGTCTAAAAGTTCAGGTCTAAACTTCAGCAACTTATGGTTTGGACAAATAAAAATAAATTAAAATTAAAATTCATCTTGCTTCATACAATGCCTTATTTATTAATTTATCTATCTATTTAGTTATTTATTTTCATGCTACATTCCAGTCTATAATTTGCAGAGATCTTAATGACTTTACTAGGTTTAAACTGCTTGTTCCACATTGTCTGTATTCTTATTTCTTTTTTATGCTGTCAGCCACATCTCAGCTAGAGTGACAGGCTCTTTGCCCCCCAGGGTACCACACCAAGATGCTGACATGAGAACAGCATGGCATGGCAGCAACATGGCTCAGCCATGTGGCCAACATGGCTGCTGGTTTAGGGGGATGGTCTAGCCATGGCAGACTTATACCTTTGCTGCACATCTCAGGAATCTTATTCTGACAGCCCACAACAATACCATGTTCTATGGTAGGCAGATGCATGGATCTGATGGGGTGGTCTTTCAGGTCAATATCACTATAATGACAATGACACAAAAGAGTTTAAAAATATAGCCACCAAGCAATGACTATTTGAATTGAAAGTCGCATAAGGAGATATGTGAGGACAGCAGTTTATAAATGTCCTGAGAAAGCTGGCAGGACCTAGGTCTCCTGCTGGTAAAAACTTAGGAGAAGATTCCAAAGGATTATCTTCAGCATCCTCATATTACATGTAACTGCAACCACGGAATTACACTATTAAAATGTGGAAATCCTTAAAACAGTATACAGAAGAAAGCTCAGTAGTGTTAGTAAGTACTTTGACTTTGCAACACTCTCAGGAAATTTATTTACTACTATTATTTTGGCTGCTACTGAGAATTCTGTAAATGTCAGGAACTTTGCCGTGACCACTTAGGAGCTTGCCTAGAAAGCCACATGTATCTTAACTATTCTACTCTGCTGTGTTTATGAATATAAGGATTGGACTGGACTCCATGACACATGCAGTTAGACCTGCCACCACTGAAATATGAACACAAAAACCTGGCATCTCTGAGAAATGGCTTCTACCAATGTACAGCTTAATCTGTATGTGCACAATAGCTGCAGCAGCTGCCTTATAATTGGTCCTTTCTAGCCCAATCTACAGCAGGTCACAGAGCAAGGCTGGTGGCTGTCCCCTGGCATTTTATCCTCCCACGCACGGAAGAATGAGCAGAGACTTAGAAGCATGCAGAGCCACTACCTGCTGCAATGCACCGGAGATTGTTCACTGATCTAATACAGGGAGGTGAGAAGAGCAGAAAGACAAGGTTTCTCTGCCAGCTGTTTGTCTGCCACAACTTATTTCCCCAGTGGAGCAAGAGAGCACACATCGAACAGAAATGTGACAATGAGTCACAGTTTGGTCCTTATTTTGTTGCTGAGAGCTATGCAACTAAACATTTCCTCTTTCTTGGAGCAGGCTTCGAGGAGACAGGCAAGCCCTGAGGCTACATGCCTCATCAGTGACAAACTCCAAATTAGCTTCTGGATTTCAGTTCTTTTCTCCAGCTGTTTGATATCTATGGAAAGTTTAAAGATGTAAAATGTTTCAAAAGGCAGATTTAATATGATCTGTATGCTCGATGATTAATATACATGAAACCTGATAATGTATGAGAAATAACACACAAGAGCCAGAGGGTAAAATCATAAAGACTTCATGAGTGCAATGGCCAGAAGCTAACAGCAGTCTTCAGTAGGTAAAAAGTTTAGCAAAGTCACAGTACCAGCAAGAGGGAGATAGGTGTTTCTCATGGTAATTCATGAATTACTGCTGACTACAAAAAGAGCCAACATGAATACATTAGGCTAGATTATTCATTTTAATGGCTAAAGTCAGGTGAGGTTTTTCCTAGTCTTTGGTTAGACTGTTAGTTAAACATTGTGTTAGGAGATTTCTATAGAATTTATTTCTAATAAGAGAATTTCCAGTATCAAAAGGTATCACCTCTTTTCTGGCTTCAAGTGTTGATGAGGAAGCAGATAGCATACCTTTTGCTGGTGGTGAAGGAAAAATGGACAATTTTGGCAATGATTTTTTTTGAAGAAGTCAGTCTGCTCTCTCTCAAAAGAACCAGGCAAACTCAACAGCTGGAAACAAAAAGTCATAAAATCCAGGAAAGCCTGTAAAAAAAAGTAAAACTTCTGTGGTAACTGAAGTTATAAATTCTAATTAAAATTCTACAAAACTTAGATTTCTCCCTGCCTATGTCATGGACTCCTGAGCTGGTTGGTTTGGTTTACAGCCAGAGTACATTCTTGTAATCTGCTGAGTCAAACACAAATGTGACCAAATTTATTAACCTAAATATTGGGTTTAATAATTAGTGGGCATTGTTAGGCACAATATCTATGCGTGCTTACTTGGTACAGAGAAACTCAAATATATCTTTATCTTAGGTACCTTATGCTGATTCCAAAATGAAACAAATGGAACCAGTCAGATTCTCAAAAGTGCCAATCAGGTAGCTAATCCTAGGGGGAAAAAAAAAAAAAAAAAACTAGTCTTTAAATGTGTTCAGTACTTTGTCTTTACTGTAAACACCAAGTAATATTCACACTGTTTTTTCTGCCAAAATTAAGCCTTCAAAATCTGAGCTTTGCTCTGGAAAGCAGAGGTTAGTTTAGGTTAAAACACATTTCATAGTGCAAATCAGGCATCAGTGCAGGACACAGAGGACAGAGAAACCAGAGTTGCCCCCTTTGAGGAAGGTCAGCTGCTTGTGGGAATGGAGAAGCTTTCCTTTTTGTTTTGATGCTAACATTGGCTGGTTTCTGCTCTGTTTAAGCAGATTGAACTAGTGCTCATTTTACCAGCTTAAATGATATTTAAAGCAATAGAGGGTGGATTGTTTTAAATCATAATGATTGAAAAACCTTTTATATCACCAATTTTAATCGTGATTTAAATCAGCAAACAAGAAACCTGGTTTTGATAAAAGCAATTTTAATCTTATTTTTTCATATGTTGTCCAGGAATAAAGAATGGAAAACAGAAACTGATTCCTAGATTACTAGTTCTGGTCACTCTATACAGCTTTTCTCATAACTCTGTGCCTTTTACTCTTAGAGGGAAAGAGAACATAAATATTTATCTATTAAACAGATTTATACTTAAGGAGACATTTAACCATGTTCTTAATCTTTACTTTTATTGTTTGTTTTTTTGTTTGTTTTAATGATAGAAAATGTTAAATTTCTTTCTAACTAAATAATGGTTTTATTTTTACTTGTGATA